GTGTAAATGGAGTCACACTTTTGGTTTGATATGTTTGCGTTCATTGGCAACATGCAATGGGGGGGGGTTGGGTGTGTAGAACATGACAAATAAAATGATTATAAAGGAGTCCTAAATTACAGATTTTCTGTGTATCTAGGCCATGAGCCCAAAAAATAACTGTAGGTAGTGATCTGTTACTTGTTAATTTGTAAAGTTTTACATATGCAATGATCTTCAATCAATTTTGAATAAATAGCAAGATTCAATATGCTTTATAAAGTTTACATTTTTCAAGACATGCATATTTGTAACCTTAAGTTCCTTATCAGCCCTTTCTAGCTTTATGTACCTTGTTGTTCATTGTTTTTTCCCTTCAAGAGAGTATTATAGAATTTGGATCGGTAAAAGCTGGGAAGGGAACCAGCTGATTTTACTAATGTGAATATTCTGTTTGTGCTGCAAAAAACAAGTTATTGATTGTCCTACTTAACCATGTAATTGCTTCTTTTACTTTACCTTTTTGTAAATGTAAACATTTTTCTTTTATAAAATAAAACCATGTTTAGAACCTGTCCAATCATATTACGATGCATTACTTTTCTTCTGGTTTAACTGTAGGGGAGTAATACTTCTACCTCCATGTTAATTTGTAGGGGACCATCCCTTGTGTCCTTTTTGAAGGATTTGTCACTGCACAATTCTCTTCGACAACCAGCCTTCGATCTTATACAAACCATGATAGTCTCTGACGCTTCAGCCTTGGTAGCTTCATTTCTGAACTGTCAGCTGCAGCCAAATAATGGAAGATGCATGTCTGCCAATATTGATGAAGAAGATGATGAGGCGCATTTGTTAGGACAGGATATCAAAGACAAGGACTGTAGTTGCTGGAATGAATTCTGTTTGCAGGCCAAAATGACATCAAGTTTATATGGGAGCTGGATGTGCATCCCAATGTTATGGTTTGAAGTTTTGGTTGAGACTGAGCCATTAATCCTTCCAGTATCATTTTCCAAGGCAGTCTTTTGGGCCTTATCTCACCTTGCTATAATAGAACCCGAAAGCAACTCAGAAAGGTCCCTATCACTTGGAGATTGGTTGAAAACCCATGCTTCAAGCATCTCTAATGCTTTTGGTTGGAAGGTTCCGTCTGGCTCCAATGATGGTGGGGATGGGTTGGTATCAAAGAACTCTGTTATTGTCTCAACAATGTATAAGCCATTACTGAGGACATTCAAAAGGTTTTCCCCTTAATCCTGCTGTGGCATGCTGTTATCATTTATATTTTGCATCTGATGATATGATATGCTTACTTGTCTACATTAATTTTGTAGAATATTGTCAATATTCTGTTGAAAAATGCGTATTCAAGATTTTTTGCTAATTTTAAATTTCAGATTTATGGCCCATTATATTGCTAGAATGGAGCAGGGAGAGCTGAGAAAACAATGGACGTGGGAGCCCATGATGGGAAACAGCTTAATACTATTGCTTGTGGAACCCAATGATGTAATATTCTCATCTGCACTTTTCTTGAAGTGAACTGTTCCTCTCTGCATCTATGCCTTCATTTAACTTGAGGTTTCACTGACCATCAGATTTATTTGGTTGCTGCAGAATGCCAGACATGTAGCTAAATGTATTCTTGAACAGGTTTCAGACACACGAGGTCTAACTTGTGGACTGCAGTTCCTCTGCTCTAGTCCATGTTCTTTGCTGGCCATCTTTACAGGGTTAAGACATGCTTTGAAACTGGTAAAATTGAGTGACTGCAATAAATACTCTCGGAGGCAGGATGAGTGGGGCGGGGAATTTATTTGTTTATAATTAAATGAAGGGTGCTAAATCCACTCCATTTATAAGAAATGGACACCTTTACCCTTTCACTTCTTTCTTTCCCCGTATCAGCATTAAGGGTAAACTTGTCTATTTGACACAAAAGGAGTGGATATATCCAAATGTGGGGTGGATATAGCAATAACCTTAAATGAAAATGCATCTTTAGGCGGTAAATTGAGGATTTATCGCAACCATCCATCTAAAAACTGGGCCAAGCTCATTTTTTAAATGCTTAACCACCAGCGCTCGCACACACACACAAATCAATGTTTTTATTTTATAACACTGACATTTTAGTAAATTTATGAAATATTTAAGTGCATGCTGTAGCAATTGGAAGTGCATTGTGGCATGTGTCAGAGTGCGCTACACTGTACTTCTTAGAGTTCACCCATGTGTGAACAACCATTTACACATGCGCTGATGCGCACTCACTCATATATACTTAAGAAAGGGGTATGAGTACTTCTCGTGAATCTCTTTGCAGTGATATTCTTCTCTAACCCCTTCCCAATAATTTGTTTATTTCCCAGGTACAACTGGAGAGCGTTCTGTCTGACTTTCAGTCTTTGCACCATTTCTTTTTTGTTTTTTGCAAACTACTTAAAGAAGGGAATTCAGCCAAATGCGTACCTGGAACATCGTTGGAGATGTCTAGTGTATCAAACTTCTCTTCCCAAGGTGGATTTTTAAGGCAGCCAGTTTTTGATGAACAGCCTGGTAATGTAAGCGAAGATTCATCCTTCGTTAGCTCTGCTTTATGGGAGAACTTCTGTTGCCAGCTATCACAAATTGCATGGCCTGCTATCGGGAAATGCTTAGCAGAAGGAAAGGCAAAATTGGACCACAAAGTATCTCATGTATGGACATGTTAAAACCCCTAACTTTTTTTTTACTCAATTCCAAATTAAAACATTGTCTAATACATCAAAATAGAAGGCAAACATGCAACAAGCTGCGCCAGCCCTTTTTGAATAGCAAACGTACTATTTTGAATAATTTGTTCATTTTGCTTTCCATTTCAGCGGAATTCCTTTTTAGCACCATCAACTCTATTACAATGTAATGTCGGTTCATATATACTTTCTCAACCTTCTGAAGAACAAAGAGTCAACACCCCCACTGGGGTTTGAATTTTTGACCTCCCATTTGGGAGAACCACAGTGATGCTGTTGGACCACAAGGTCTTTGGCTTGGAAGATCTACTTTGGTTGCAGTCAAAGTTGCATTCTAATTTACTAGACAGACTATATCATTTAAAAAGAATCTTTTTCTTGTTTTTATGTTGTTGGTCCTGCAAATTTAATTTTTAGTATTTTTAAAACGAGAATTCTCCAATAATATGGTTCAACTGGTTATTGACTTGTGGCAGAAGGCTGATAATTGGAAATTGGTTAAATTATCCTTATTCTGATAGCTAAACAGAGCACCATATATAAGTTTTAGATGTTGTTTTATCCTGGATCAAGAATTTAGAGTGACAGATTAGCTGAAGCCTTTCTGTAAGATTCCCTCTAAAGATGTGATTTTCTCTCTTGATGTTTTCTCTCTGATTCAGATGACCTGCATCAGAATATTAGAGATTCTTCCAGTTATTCTTGAAAAGTTTCATGGAAATTTTCCCACGGTTTTCAACAATGCTACTTGTCTCAAATGGCTTTATGATTTGGTTGATTGGGGAAAGTCACCCCTTCCTGTGGTGGTCAGATATTGGAAACAAACTTTTACTTCATTGCTGGGGTTGTTAAAAGGGTTCTGCAATGGTACCTCTGCTTTGGCAGTTGTGGATATTGAGAAACTTATTTCATGCGGTGAGTTCTCTTTTATTTTTACACACTTTTAACTGTATCTCTTATTTTGAGTGTTTTATTGGTGGGCGGCTGGGTGCAGATAATACTCCAATAGAAGAACTTGCTGAACAAGTAGCACGCCTTTGTGTATTACTGAATAGTGATCCCTCTTACAATCTGAGAGAGAATATGAAATCTGAACATTCTTCAAAATTGTTACGAACTGGTAGTTGCTCGCCGGCAGGTGCACAAACTTGTATGGATGCTAAGACATTGCATTTTTTTGATTCAAATGTATCTGTTGGAAAGGAGAGCAGTGATTTGGTAGTTCTTTCTGATGATGAGAATGAGCCAGAAAGCTCTATGAGCTGTAAACATTCTCCTTTCAAAAAGCTGTTATCGAATGGTGATTGCTCGGCTGCAGACACCCAAGCTTCTTCTCTGGATCTCAAGAAACTGCATGTTTCTGACTCAGAGGCATTGGTTGGCAAAAGAGGTGGTACGATGGTTCTTTCCGATGATGAGAATCAGTCAGAAACATCTGTAAATAAGGATGTCTCAAATTCTGGGTTTAGGCAAACTTTGTTTGATGACAAAGCTATGGGGGCAAATGCTGCTGGACAAATGTTACACTCTGATCGTGTAAGGAGAACAGATAATGCTGTGAATCCTGTAGTAGCCTCTAAGCATGTGTCTGATTCAGGCATTGTGGAAGTCGAGACAACAGCTCCCATCAAGTCAAGGGGTTTTCATGAAAAGAGAAAGGACGTTGATTCCAATATCAGTTCAAAAGAAAATGATACTCTGATGATCCAGCATGATTTTCGGAAAGATTCATTTAATGGAAGTATGATTCTCAAAACCAAAGATCAGAAAGGCAATAACAAGGCCGTAGAGACTGCTGTTACAGTTCCGCAAGACCTTGTACGTGATAGTGAAAATGCTTTTGACTTGGCGTTTTCCAAATCTAGTAGGGGTCGACAGACATTAACTATGAACAAAAGTATTTCTGGTCCCAAACGGCAAATCATTCAGCTCGATTTACCTGTGAGAAGTAGATATAGTATATCGAAAGCAGACAGTGCAGTGAAAAGGTTTACTTCTGCAAGGCTTGATGACTGGCTTAAACTAATTTTGGAGTTGGATTTCTTTGCAACAGTGGGGTTATCAATGACAAGTGACAAGGAAAACCAAACCTTGAGCAAATTGAAGCAGGTACCTGTTTGCTTTGAATCAGCTGAAGAATATGTTGAAATATTCCGGCCATTATTGGTGGAGGAATTCAAAGCACAGTTACTTAGTTCATTTCAAGAGGTGAATTCAATTTCAGAAATGTATTGTGGCAGCTTGTCCATCATGTCTGTTGAGAGAATTGATGATTTTCATATGATCCGCTGTGTTCACGAGGATTTGGACAATAATGGATCTAGAAGCTGCTCAGAGAATGATCTGATTTTGCTTACAAGACAACCTCTGCAAGGTTCTCCTCCAGATGCTCATATGTTGGGGAAGGTATTTGTCTATTGACAATTTTCATCCTCATCTGAGAAATCTTTTTTAGCATATATATATATATATATATATATTTCGTAGCTTTAAGATTTGTAAACTAAGCCATATTAGTTTGAATTTACTAATCTTTGAATTATTCTAAAGCAAATGAAAACTGTGGTTGGGATTTATTTAGAGAGAAACAATATGAACCACATAATGCTTTCCTTGAAAAAAATGAGATATATTTTGGATGGACAGAAATGGAAGTGGGAAGATTATTTAAGTTGAGTGGGAGTAAATGTATGGTTTATTTTCTCTGATAGTTTGATCTGCACATTTGTAATCATATTGGATTCTTTATTTGTACTTTAAGCTGTTAAATGACACATTTGATTTGTGAACTGATTTGGTCAACATCTTGTTCTTCAAACATTAAAAATAAAACCTGATTCACATTTTTTGCCATTGTGTTTTCTAATTGTGCGATCTATATTTAGGTGGAGAGGTGTGATAGGGATAATAAGAAAAGATCAAGTATGGTTTTTGTCAGGTTGTATCTTCAAACCAAAGCTTCTCATCTCAACAAGGCCCGAAAGCTTCTTGTCGAACGCAGCAAGTGGTGCGTTAGTCATTTGATGAGTATTACACCTCAATTAAGAGAATTTCAGGCATTGTCATCAATAAAGGAAATCCCTCTGCAATCTGTTATCTTGAACCCAACTAATCATGGTCATAGTGAAAATTGCGTTAATAATATAAGTAAACTGCCACAACCCTTGGGTCAAGTCCTTAGATCGGAATACAACGAAAGTCAACTGGAAGCCATCAATTCTGCTATTGGGCATTTTGATTCAAAAAAGGATTTTGAATTATCTCTCATACAGGGTCCTCCAGGTATGGTGTTCTTATCTCATTACATTTTTTTATTCTTTCTCGTTAGTGGACGGGAGAAGGGCTAGGGTAGACCTAAAGTGGAAGGAGATGATTAGACATGACTTAAAACTTTAGGATTTTACCGAGGATACAACAACATTACCCCCATGCCTCAAAGGCTCCCACCCATTGCATGGTAAGGAAGGAGTTCAGATGTATGCAGCCTGACCCCTATGCTTAAAAACATAGAGTGGCTGTTTCCAGATGTCCCATTATGAGGTCAAAAGTTGCATTGACTAACTGCTACTTCACTATAAAAAGAAGTGTAGATAGTTTAAAGGGTCATTTTGCTTTATTTCATCATACTCCAAATCCAAAAAATAGTGAAAACATGGAGATGACATTACATAGGAAGACATGGAGATCTAGGATTAGAGCAGTCAGGTAGACCTTTGGGCCTTAGTATGTAGATTTTACCTTAGTCTTTAGCTTGTGCATGTGTGCTTTCTGTGCTTTCGGTCTAGTTGCTAGTGTCAGTATGTGTGCTTGTTTCTGTGGTCTTATTTTGTTCGTGCTACCATGTTTACTTTATATGTGCTTCTGTGTTTAAACTGTGGGTCTCTTGTAAACAGTCTCTCTACTTTTGAGTAGGGGCAAGGTCTTTGTACACGCACTCCATAGACCTTACTTTTGTGGGATTTTACTGTGATTGTTGTATATTTTATTTTATCGACCTCTATTATTTACAGGGTAAGGTTGGGATTATGTTGGGCTTGTTGTATATTCATTTTACTGCAATGTTGATTTCTTGTCATCACTTCTGCAAGATAAACATATTTTTTATGTGAACTTTGAACTTCTTTCATTTTAAGGTACTGGGAAGACCAAAACTATTATGGCTATTGTAAGTGGCTTGCTCTCTTTTTGTAAGATAAAAGACAATCGAACACCAAGTGCTGCTCCAAAGGCTACCGGTTTGTTTGGCTGCACTTCAAGACCACAAGTTAGTAATGCTGTTGCAGTTGCAAGGGCATGGCAGGATGCTGCATTGGCTAAACAACTGAAAGATGACATAGATAAGAGCAAAGATAACATGGGAAGCTGCAGTAAAGGACGGATCCTCGTTTGTGCACAATCTAATGCTGCTGTTGATGAATTAGTTTCAAGGATAACTAGGGAAGGTGTTCATGATAGAGATGGAACTTTCTATAAACCATATCTAGTTAGGGTCGGTAATGCAAGGACAGTTCATCAAAATTCCATACCTTTCTTTATTGACACACTTGTCGATAACCGTATTTCTGATGATAAAATAAATAAGAATGATGCAAGGAATGATGCAAATAAAGATAGAGTGACATTTCTTCGATCTAATCTAGAGAAGCTAGCTGATGCCATCAGATCCTATGAAGCCAAGCGTGCGAACTTGAAAGGTGGAGATTCTGATTCACAATCTCTATTTGAAGGCGATGCATGCAATGCAGAATCTATGAAGGAATTATCTGGAACTGAACTTGAAGCAAAACTGAGGGTATTATATGACAAAAAGAAAGCAATGCATACAGATCTTGCCACAACTCTGGCAAGAGAGAGGAAAGCTAATGAAGAAACTAAAGCCCTTAGACATAAACTGAGGAGAGCTATTCTAAAGGAAGCAGAGATTGTAGTCACCACTTTGAGTGGATGTGGTGGTGATTTATATGGTGTGTGTGCAGAATCTGTCTCCGGTCATAGATTTAGAAGTTCATCGGAAAGTGTTCTTTTTGATGCGGTTGTTGTGGATGAAGCTGCCCAGGTATAAATTTATATTTTCCCGGCTTCCTCTCCATTTTATCTGTCCTTCCATTGTTGCATTGTCTTAACCATATCTAGTCACTTGATATCCCCATGCGCGCACTGCACAGGCACTGGAACCTTCTGCACTGATTCCACTTCAGCTTTTAAAATCAAAAGGAACTAGATGTGTTATGGTATGCTGATTTCAATATCCTTCATTCACAATCATTTGAAGTATACGAATCACATCTGATTATCTGAATGTTTGTTTCACGCTCGAAGGTTGGTGATCCTAAGCAGCTTCCTGCAACAGTTCTTTCCAGTGTTGCTACCAAATATTTTTTCCAATGTAGCATGTTTGAGCGTTTGCAGAAGGCTGGGCATCCTGTGGTCATGCTCACCAAGCAGGTGAAATTAAACTATTGAATAGAAAAAGTTTCTACCTCTGTCCCCAAAAAGATCCATGTTTTAAACATACTTTTGTAGTTTGTACCCAAAACAAAAGGTCCACTTTGATCAATTCAGAAATTGTATGTTGGTGAAACATAATTTTTTTTAGGACAGAGGAAGTGTTTTTTTGATAAAACATTATTGTGTTTTCTTATTTTAATACTTTTCCATAAGATCATACATCTTGGTGGTTCAGTAGTGTTGTTTTTTTCTATTATTTCCAGTATAGGATGCATCCAGAGATATGCCGCTTTCCTTCTTTGCACTTTTATAGTGGAAAGTTGATGAATGGAATTTTGATGTCAACAAAATCTGCACCCTTTCATGAAACAAATGTTCTTGGGCCCTATGTATTCTTTGATGTTGTTGATGGCAAAGAGCTCCACGGAAAGAATTCTGGTGCCATGTCTCTCTACAATGAGTGTGAAGTTGATGTTGCAGTTGAACTGTTACGTTTTTTCAAGAGCAGGTATGTTATACATCCATCGGCTCTGTCTCTGTTACTAGCATTGTCCTCGTCCCATAAAAAGTCTGTTTGATAAATGTACAACTTTTAAATTTGGACAAGGTACAACTCTCAGATTTCATGAAGCATACTTTTTAAAAAGATTTATTTACGGATTGAACTAAATTTATGATGCATAATTTCTTTGTCACTCTTTTTTGGCATTTTTTTCCTTGGGAAATCACATTAAAACTGATCTTCATATGATCAAAGTGGGATTTTTTTGGACAAGATGTTTGACAATTGACTCCTTTGTTCGGGATGAAGGGAGTATTTGCAATCCTTTAATTAAATATATTCCCATTTTGAAAATCTTCATGTAGGTACCCAACAGAGTTTGTTGGTGGAAGAATTGGCATCATAACACCTTACAAATCCCAGCTATCTCTTTTGCGCTCACGCTTTTCCAATGCATTTGGACCTTCTGTCATAGCAGAAATGGAGTTTAACACAGTGGATGGTTTTCAAGGCCGAGAAGTGGATGTACTTATATTTTCAACAGTTAGGGCAGCTGAAGCATGCTTCACTGGCCATGCTTCATCTTCCAATATTGGATTTGTTGCTGATGTGAGACGGATGAATGTTGCTTTAACCAGGGCAAAACTGTCTTTATGGATCTTAGGTAATGCAAGGACGTTGCAATCGAACCGAAGCTGGGATGCTCTAGTGAAAGATGCAAAAGAAAGAAATTTGGTCATAACAACCCGAAAGCCTTACAGTTCTATATTTAAATCAGCGTCAAAAGAAAACCGAGCATCAGAAATCCAAATGCATACTGAAAAGATTGAAGACATAAATGATGGCGCCAATTGGCATAAAAAGAACAGAAACAAGTTTGGAAGGAAGAGACGGCACACTGAAGCAGTTGAGGTTACTGATGTCAAAGCTTCCAAGCCTGCAAAATCTGCGGTTGTGGAAAATCAAGGTGGAACAGGAAGGAATAAGCCTCAGAGTAAAAACAATGAGAAAGCTGGCAAGCAAATGGAAACATATAACAATAAACATGATGATGGCAGGGAAAAGAACAAAGCAACCACCGATTCTGGGTCATTCAAGAAGGATCTTGTAATGTCCACAGCCGTTGAAAATAGTCACGAGAGGAATAACAAGCCTTCAACGTCTGCAGTTGGGATGAACCAAGAGGATGCTAGTGGAACTCGGGGAAAAAAGAATCGTGATAAGCAGAGTAACAAGGAAAAAGCTGACACATGTCCGAAAGAGAAGGATAAAAGGAGTTCTTTTGAGGTTTTGGAAAAAGTAACGGATAAAGAACCTTCAAACAAAGGAGGCCTTAAGGGGACGGATAGAAAAGATGGCAAAGAAGTTAAAATTCAAGGTGATAAAACTGCACCTTCAGAAAGGAAACAAAAACGGGACGCTGTTGAGGCACTTCTTTCTTCTGCTCTTATATCTTCAAACAAGCCTAAATCGTCAATCAAATCATTGCCTGCGAGAGATAGTTCTGAAAATAATAATAGAGCCCCTGGAATAAGACCACCAAAGACAAGAAAAGGTGAATGTCTGTTAAAATATTCTTTTCCTCAAGAGAGATATGCACTTCTTGTCTTCAAATTGATCCCCTTCTCGCGGGCTTTCTCTAGGGAGAGGATGCGACTGGGATTACTCAACCCTACCTGCTTATATAGTGTAATCTATATCTGATTAGGATAGGGTAAAGTAGCATGCATACTACCTGTGTCTGGTTCTGCTAAGATACTCCATGGGTACTAGTTGGGTTAAAGTGACGATGGTGATTGGTGATGATACATGCAAGTGTGGTTGGGAGGTGGGTGTACCAAACTTAGTCCTACCTATACAAGTACAGAGTATTTTTTTAAAGACCCCAACACAAGAAAATAAATTGAAACATTCTAGAACATTAAGTACAATCAAAGATTAAGAGGTGAAAGTAACATAAACACATAAACAAGAGCAAGGGGGGTAGAGTAAACATCAACACACACAAAATACTGTTCATAACAATTTTCTTATCTCAAAATATTCATACAACATATTTTTTGCTTTCAACATTTTAAATTCTGTGAAAAACAAACTAGGAATTTATGGGACAGAGGTAGTAAAAGGCAACAAAACTACACCTATCTCCAATTTTTTTGTTATTTGCTTAGTTTAAAAATGATATTTTGGTTAGTTTCTATTCGGGTTTTGGCATGAAATGTGTAGTTGATTTTCTGTACGGTTAGGGTACAGTTAGTGGGCAAAATAATAGTGATAATAATGAGGTCTTTAGGGAGTTCAGGCACCCGGTATGGCCGTATTGCATTTTATAGGGATCCACATGCGTGACTTATACTCTGTATATGTTTTAGGGTTTGTTATTTTCTTTTATCTCAAAAATGGGTTTGAAGGCATTGCGGTTTTTGAATATCCAACTACTGTGTAGTCTAATATAAGGTTGCTTTCTGCTTTCAGTGTAGGCAGGCCTTTAGCAGGAATCAAGATTCCAAAACCGCAGTGTGGTTCTTAGAATTCCAAACACGCCACAAGAATTTTTCCAACAGCTATGACTAAGAGATACAGGCAGGACATGGTGGTTTGCTAGTCAAGAACAGCCGTCTTGAGCCGCCCCATGAATCAAAAGATAACTTCATTCTGATAGTATTTCAAGTTGTCTCCTGCCACACAAGGTATTATTTTCCTATAGCCATCCGANCCACTCCCACCCCTACCCCACCCCACCCAGAATTATATCACAAAGTATATGTAGTTGAAAAGCTTGGAGAGAGTGGGATAAAAGGAATGAGGTAACAACACCAAATTTCCTTGACCCACCAGTAGTTTTGACAGTTGATAGATTTCCAGGCTTTTATATAATGTTAGTGTTACACCGGATAGGAAATTCTTTCCAATCCATTTTTGTGTACGTAACGAAAGTTGTTTTCAATGGACAGAAGTGCGAAGCGAGAAGCATTTTTCTTTATTGACGCTAGAATAGTTTAAAGCTCTAAACATGTGGGTCAATGGTTTTTAATAATCTATAGAAAAAAATCATGCCAGTACTCTTAGAAATTTGATATTTTACAAGATTATACCATTCTCACCAACATTTACAAAAATATAATATTTTTACAATAATACTGAGAATTTTTAGTTTACACTTTACATGAGTCCCCTCATCTGTGAGGAGTATGTGTGATAGTTATGTATTACTCCGTACTTTTGATCTTAGAACTTTTTTAGAGTACTATGTACTCCGCATATATTTTGGCACGATTAAGCTCGGTGTAATCCTCTATTTTTAACCCGCATTAATTTTCTCATAAACTCCCTCAAACAAAATTGATGTCTATAAATACTTATAAGTTCGTTCGCTCTAAATTCTACATGTAAAATGTGAATATTCTCGAGTATGTATATGGTATAGCCGACTGCACCATAAGTAAGGTACAATAAAATAGTACTTATTTTGAAATAAAGTAGTTCACATTACTGTAAAAGATATAATTGTTTAGTCATACATTTGTTTACTATAATTATAATACTCCTTCTGTCCTACTCTCTTTGTCTACTTACCTTTTGGCACATCATCCAATGCACTTCTTTAATCCATTTTATCTTGTAATTTGTATATTAAAAAATTATAGAAATTATATATTAATAATGTATATGTTAAGACAAATCAAACAAGATCACACATGACTATATTTAGGCTTACGCATTGAGAGAATTTGACGAGTCAAAGTGCTTAGATGAACAGTTTCAAAAGTCAAAAGTGGACAAAGAGAGTGGGACGGAGGTAGTATTAATTTAAGAATGACGTAACGTTCATTTTGAAACAAAGTCGTTTTCATTTCCAAATGACCTAGTGTTTATTCTTAAACAACAAACCGTTCATGTCACCTAAGTCACACAAGCCTCAAATTTGCAGCTTCTTCAAATCACCCGATCAGAAGACCCTCTTGCAATTAGAGCAGCGCCGACTACAAATCATCCATTGGGTGTTCATTGCCAATCAAACTAGGGTTTCCAGGTCGCTGTTGGTTCATCATTTCCTCGCCGCGAACGTACTCTTCCTCGTTGCTGCTAATTTCTCTCAATTAGATGCTGGTTGTACGAGAAAAACTATATAACTGACGGTACAATGTAAATTGCGGATATACTCACACTTTTGGGTTGCTAAATTAATCTCTTTTTGTAAAAGATCTCATTCATTTAAAATATGAATACACTAAATTCTACAAAATGAACATCATCTTAAGACCACTTAAGAATTTGTGAATAAATAATACCGACAAATATTGAGGACACATTATTCTTAATTAATTAATTCATTAATTTCTCATCTGAATTAACAAAAAAAAAAATAATCAAAACGAGCTCAAAATCATTCAGAACAAAAAACTGCTCATTCAACAATTCAAACGAAGAAGGAAGAGTCACGGATTAGATTTGGTAACAGAACGAACGGAATTCCAGATCCCGGCGACAGCTCCGGCGAAGTGAGGGAAGAGTTGGACAAGTGCGCCGGAAGCCACCCCGATGGCGAGCGTCTGGGGATGGCTAGGTTTCGAGTCCAATTTCATGTCCAGGCTGATCAACCTCGAGCTAATGGAGTCGAGCTTCCTCGATGTAGCGGCGGCGGCGGAGCCTTTTTCTCCGGAATTCACGGCCATTTTGAAGAGCAGGTTCTGGAGATCTTCGATTGCTTTGAGCGAAGCTTCTTCGGCGCCCAAACCCTTGGCCTCGTAGTGGGCGACCATCTCCTTTGGGCTCGGCAACTTCCTCACCTTCTTCGTGTTGTTACCTTGGACGTCGCCGCCGCCGAAAGTCGGACGCTCCATTACACCGCCGAACCTCCCCAATCCGAAAGGCAAATGTGAAATGTTGCGGAAAGACGCCCAAATGAAAGCAATTTAAAGCCCTCTCCTTTTCATCTTTCTCCTTTCACTTGCAATAATTTGACAATTAATATCTTTCTATTTATATATTATGAACAAAATTTATAAAAATCAAAATGGATCTCTAAACTGTCTGCGCTTCTTTAATTAATGAAGTAGCAGTTAGTCAAGCAATGCAACTTTCGACGTTGAGCCGGGGGTCTCTTTGGAAACAGCCTCTCTACTTTCGAGTAGGGGCAAGGTCTGCGTACACACACCCTCTCCAGACCATACTCTTGTGGGATTTAACTGGGTTGTTGTTGTTGTTGTTGAACAAAATTTATAAAAATATATTATTTTAGAACTTGATTTTAAAATGAATATAATGATACTAAATTTATATCATAGTCTAATTTATTTTTTTCGTTATTTGCCGTCAAAATTTAAAAATATTAACCATAAAAATTAAAGTGAAGAAAAAGAAATGAAACAAAAAGTTAAATAATTTACAAAATAAGTTTAATAAACTTATTTTTTTTATCAATATCTATTACAAAGTATATTAATGAGATAAAAAATAATTTATAAAATAAGTTTAATAAAATTATTTTTTTATCAATATCTATTACAAAGTATTCATTTTATTTAATTTATTGTCAAAGTTTCTCAATTTTAACAACATAAAGTTAAAACAAAACAAACATTCTAAAACAAGATAGTATTTATTACCAACAAAAAATAATAAAGCGTGTTTCGAAATAGCAAAAAAGAAAAACTGGTTGGAATGTTTTGGGACAGTAGTACACATTTTTCATTTCTAAAAATAAATTGTGTTCACTTTTTGCATGATCAAATCATATACTTTTCATTGCTTATTTTATTTAATTACGGAGTATTTATTAAATTTTGTGCTAGGAACCCCAAACTAGCATTGGTCAGTTCCAATTGTGTGCTTGTTTGACTCATACAAAGTACTTCCTCAATTCCTTATTACCCCGGAGTAACGCATAAAAAAAAATAAATGAACGTAGACATGGAATATATTTACATCTATTCATTTTTAATGTACTCCGTAAAATGAAAGTCACAATAAACCGTTGATAAAGAAATAAAGAATGGAGTAACATTTACCGCTTGTCAATATAAAATCTCAACCACTGGTATAAAATTTTCACATCATTCATCTCCGTCGCAGTCAAATAGAGCTCAACAAATTAGGATGGGGGAATTCATATGATACTTTTGTTAATAAGAGTGTAACAAAATGAGCCCATTTTTAGGGGGCACCTTTTTTTTAACATAGCGGAAACTTGTGGTTGAAATTTATGTTTTGCGACGGGGAAAATTTTTTTATCTTTTGAAGAAGACTAGAGAGTATGAAGCTCCATTTGCATTGTTAATTACCTGCTTTAATTTGATGCGAACCAGTCTTTCACTTCCTCGAGCCATCCAGTCTTTCACTTCTGCTGCAAAAATCTGATGCAAACCATATGAACATATGCAAGGGAAAAAACAGAACCAAATATGTCCATTGATTTAACACAATAATGAAGACAGTGTTTGGGAGATAAGTTCATAAACTTTTCAGATCCTCAATTTATTAGGATCATGCGGAGATGAACTCATTTTACTGTCCTAATAAATTGAGCCAAAAACAAACAGCTAGAGGACAAGGGGGGTTTTCTTAGTAATTAAGCATTGCCCATAATAATAAATGGAGCCAATTCATTTACAGACAAAAAATGAATTGGAACATGGGGGAAAGTTCAGACTGATTTGGTGAAGAAAAAACAACTGTGCTTACCTCAATTTATAGTGGTCACACCTGCATGAGAGAATTAAGCAGGGGCTGAGGATGCCGTCGTATGGGTCCTATATATTTGCAGTGGAGCATTGAGCAGCAATTGTCTTTAAGAAGGGGGGATAAGCATCCTTTCGACCCCCATAAAGTCAGACAAGAACTCTTCGTCATTTTTGCCTAACATATCTTTTAAGCTACAATCCACATTTCTACCTTTCAACACCAAATACCTTGGTTTTATCCTCTTCTCCAGAGAGTAGCTGAAGTATCTTGGGTATTCCACCACTTCGTTTATTCCCCTTCCCATTGTGTTTACTAGGAATTCCACTTTTGGCCTCAGCACTTCTCCTGTACTGTACCCGAGTAAAGGCGAAAACTTACGGACCATGAATGATATGTCACGCTTTGAAATCCCAACACGCCTCAAATACCTTACCCTGTTCTTCAAATTCACATTTAAAAAAATCAATTTTCTTTTCGAATTTAGTGAAATAATAAGTGGCACTTCCATTGAGCGGCATATACAACAGAAAAGGATCTTCTTTACCTTGGAAGCAAAGCTCCATCAACATCGCATATGAAGAACTCAGGATATTTCCTTATAACCCTGGGGAAATGACTCTTGGAAATACCAATAGTATTCAGAAAATTAAGCTTTCTCTCAAGAGTTCTCTCAATACTTGAACCAAAAATTTCAGGGCAACGAACAAGAATTTTAACAAGGACATCCTCATCAACTCCCAGATCTCCAAGGAATTGCACCACCTGGTAACGGAGGGTGTTTTTTTTTTAAATTAAATAATGAACCTCCGATACGAAATAGATCATACAAGTTAAACAGCAGGAAGTTCTGAAGTAAACATGAATGGTGGCACTGAAAGAAGAGTGTAAAGGGAGAAGCAAACAATGCCAAGTTCTCTTTGGTGGTTCAATCTTAAGTATTCTTTTGGTAATCAAGGTAGCTGTGCACCTCTATGAATAACAATAACCCAATAGAGACCCACAAGTAGGGTCTTGCGAGGGTCGGCAACACAGACATTACCCCTACCAAGTAGGTACGGAGGTTGTTCTCAGAAGTCCCTCAGCTCACGAAAAACATATAAGCAGATTAAAACAATCAAACAATGAATGATGAACAGTAAGACAGCACGTCTAAGAATCCCTTGGATTTATATTTCAACAGAGCAAATGATGAAATAAAGAAAAATATCCAATGTGCAAAGATCCAAGTTAATTCCATGGAGTAGGCTAGTTTTAGTTAGAAACATACAAAGTATTAGTTTTCAAAAAAAGTGCTACCTTGAGGAAGTCCTGAGGTTTCTGTACCAATAACTGCGGACTTGTTGCAATAACCTTACCCAACTTCTTGTTTACGATGCCCAAGTCTTTAAATTGATCAAGCATCAATTTCATCTTGTCAACTGAGCAGCCTAAAAGGAGTGGCCATCTTTTGATTGCACTGGCCACACTAGCAACGGGTACCTGCCAGAAGAATAAGTACTCTTGTGAAACAAAAAAAATATCCACCTGTAAAGTGTAAACTAGACAAGCAAGGTAAAAGTCGTGAATGTGGATCTTCATATTGTACTGCCATAATGAAGAAGAGTGTCACCATAAATTTCATGCCATTGCACCAAACTCAATGTAGTGATTTTGATGATGAGTGTCGTGAGTCATTAAAACGCAAAAGAACAAGATAATGACAACATACCAACACATTGTAATAGTTTTTACGTAAGGTCAACGACTGGAAATAGTAATTTAAATGTCTATCACCTTCTTCTTATTGAAGAAATCTAGGATCCTTTCATAGTTTTGCAGAATGCTTGCAGAAAGAATCCATGGATACTTGAGTAACATCTGACCAAAATCTTTGTCTGCTGCGCCAATCTGGAAGATAATAAAAGTATAGTGTTCAGTCATTAGAAGAAAAAAAATATGGGTTTAACTCAATAATTCTAGTGTCCAATAAAAAAGAGCATACTTTTACGAAAGAATGTAATCTTGGTCTTATGTCCTTCTCGACATCATAGAAAATAATTGGCGGAAAGAGTAGTAGGATTCGTTTCTTCGACCCATGTGCAACACCAATATCCTCAAGGACTTGGAGGACAGGCTCCACTGTAGTCTCCAATGGAAGCAACAAAAGACGTGGAAATGATTCGATAAGATATCGGAAAGAACTATCTTTGGAACCTAATAAATCTAGACCTCCACGTCTCGCTTGGATCTGCAGGAAGTATGGAGGATATAAGAATACATTTTTAGAAATTTATAAAAACTATTAAAACAATGAAATAAAAGTCTTCTTATAATTTGAAATTCACTTATGCTGAGGAATAACAATGGGCTAATTAAAACTACATCAAACTGCAGGAAGAGAGTCTGACCTTTTCAAAGAATGACAATGTTTTCTGCACATCATCATCAATGGAAATAGAAAGGTGCTTCATCATTCGTCTAGCATTCATACCAACAATACCTTCATCATCACTGTGATAAAATAATGTTTCCTTCAAATATTTAACCTATAAACAAAAGAAAATAAGCAAACTAACCTATAAATATTTACCATAGTATTCATCCTTTTTTATTTTTTTGGTCAAATTGGATTAACTTTGATAATCAATTGAATGAAAATTGCATTTTATATTTATACAATGGAATAACTTGTTTGAAATTTTCTACAAGATAAATCTAATGAAAATCATTTTTGTATTAATATGCAATGCATTTTTTTAATTGATGATCAAAGTTCGCCCAATTTGACAAGAGTCAAAAAGTAAAAATACTAGTATTCGACAAAAATGTACAGTAACATAAAAGCCTTAATAAAGAACTTCCATATGTAATACTTCCTTATTACACATTCAATAAAGAACTTGGTTGGACCCCATTTGAATTTTTTAAGATATTAGCCCTTAAAGGCATTCCATATGTTACGAATCAACTACTTGTCTGCCAGAACATAGTACAGAGTAATATACTACCATTATTATTCTAGAACAGATTCATATAACTTGCACAACCACTGGGGCAAAACTCTCCAAATGAAAACCATCATATTATCATAAGCTGAAACTATAACAAACTATCAAGATAATGAGCAACAGCTCTATGGGAAAAATTAAAGGCATATGCAAAATAAAAGATAAAGATATTTGTAGAGTTCAAGGAAATGTGGTCGAGTATCATACGCATCTCATAATGCACCGATCGAGAACCCTTCTAAAGGCCTGTAACTAAACAAATAACCAGGTTCCTTGAAAGGCACAAAACTACTTTAGCTACTTGTTGTTCCACAACTCATGGCAATCATACTGACAATAAATCAAAGCATGGAGAGATTTGATGTCCTGGAGGTAATACCTTTTGAATAAGATCCGGAAGTGTGTGGGAGGATGAGAGATAGCGGCCTAGGTAAGTTGCAGAAGAGAGAGTGAGGCCAGTGCTTTCTAGATAGGGAAGCATACCCTTATCGCCTTTCTGCTTGGCCATTTGGAAGACCTTGCTCCTGAACGAAGGCTGTGAGGGAGGAGCTTCGGAAGCCGAATCCGTCCACGAATTCCACAAGGAGAGTTCATCCAGGTCTTGAACACTCTCAATCAACATTTGCAGGTAGCTGGGAGCAGCAATGGCGATTTCCATAGCTTCCTCCGTCGAAACCCCAAGCTGCTGAAGATAATCGCAAAGCGCATCCCGAGCTTCCCCGAGTTTATCTTCCTCTTCTCCTTTTCCTTCCGCACTCGAAGAAGACGAGCACCGCGGCGGCACTATCGAACCAAATTTGAAATTGCGGCGGCGGACAGTACGAGAATAGACTCGGGTATTCGGAGAGAAGCAGACGGGAGAAGTTGAACAGAGATAGCATGAAATCAAGCGATGTGGCGATATAGCACTAGTACTGTCAGGTGCGGCGGCGGCGGCGGAGATGAGCTGATAGGGACGAGTAAGTAGGTTTATGGGACGAGTACTGTCAGGTGCGGCGGCGGAAATGATATTCGGAAGCCAATTCAACGCCATGCTCCGGCGGCTCTGCTTCCCCAATTCAACACGAATAACAATTCTCCGCTTCCGATTAGCCTTTGTAAATGCTCAGCGCAAGTCCCTGCTTGATATCTTCTTCCTCCTTTTTCCGAAAAAAAAAAACCAACACTGGTTTGATTTTCGGGAGACATTAGACATTTTTCTATTTGACTTTTTTGCCTAAAATTATTTTTAATTTACTCCTTAATTATCAAATGTAAAATTTCAAAAAAACTTAAATATTTAAAGTTTTATTTTAAAATTTTATTAAGATACATAAGTATATATTACTCTATTTTATTAAATAATTAACGAAAAAGAGAAAGAAAATAAATAAACCATAACCGTTTAATCGGTAATTATTTCTAGAACGGATAAAATATTCAACGACTTTGTTACATGACTCACTAATTTATTACTCCGTATTATTGATTGCAACAACAATGCAGGTGAATTTTCATAAGAATAGAGCTTAGAGTGTGTATATTTGAAAATAGGAGTTTGCTTCAAAAAAAATTCAGACTCAAGTGGCACGTATATCATTAGAATCACATAAAATAAATAGAGCACAAAAAACCAAAGAAAAACTAATATTGACGAAAAAACACAATAAATAGAAAGTACCAAACATAAAAAATACACAAGTGTGAAACACTACCGACAACCAAAAAATGTCTACCCAACTACCATAGTTCTAGCTCTTCAAATGGTTTATTTAATCAAATTTATATACTCAGTAAGGATTAGAACTCCTAAGCCATTCCCAGTTTTTTACTCCCTCCGTCCCGTTTTAAATCGTCTGTTTTGACTTTTGGACATATTTAAGAATAGAAAAAATATAGTTGATTTTTTGAAATTGGCATTACTTTTTAGGAGGGGTGACAATAAATGAGAAGATAATGTGGAAAAGAATAACTTATTTTAGGGGTAGTTTAGATATTTTACTCTTAAAAATTTACGATAACAAGTAACAGATAACTTATTTTGGACGGAGAAAAAAGGCAAACAGACAATTTAAAATGGGACAGAGGGAGCATTTTCTTTTATAAACTTCAATATCATGCCCATAACCCATAAGTATGCCATTTTTTTTGGTCTCAAAAAGAAAAATAGAAGAAGAGTGTACCAAATATAGTACTCCATATGTAAAAAAATCTAAGACAAACTAAAATATTTAAAAAATTCGTATATGTTTATATTCACTTCTTATTTGTAATACACATATAGATGAAATATGGATAAATAATTGGTCAAGTCCCATACGAATTAAACTTTTCTAAAAAATGATTTTAAAAAACATAATTTTACATGTTGTATCTTCTCGAAGAGGGGGATTCATTAGAGTGGACATTAATTACATTGAGAAATATGATGAATCATCAATTCATACAAATATATACACAATTCAAAACCCATTAACAATCTTTAGTTAATTAGTCGTCGTCATGCTCTTTCACCTTTTCAACTTCTTCTAACGCCTTCTTTAAATCCCACCTCTTGTCTAAGTCCTCTTGGCAACAAGCGAGTCCGATCTCGGCTAGCTTTCGCATTTCCCCTCGGCTTCCTCTTGTATCCCCCATTTCCTTGTCGAACACTGTGGTTTCGTCGCCATTGTCGTTGTGCAAACCTTTGGATATAGAGTCAATCCAGCTAGCAAATTCAGAACCGTATCCGGGACACTGCATTAAGTAGTTTGCGGGAAATCTTGCCGTCATTGACTCGAGGATCAATATTCCAAGGGTCCAGACGTCTGTTTTCTTGGTGGTGCGGCCTTGTCGCGCGTATTCGGGAGACTTATAGACGATGAGGATGTTTTGGAGTTGGTCGCAGTTTAACACAGGAACTAAAGTGTAATCCATGAGGAGGGGGTTGAATGAGTTGTCAAGAAGCACATTCGAAGACTTGAGGTGGCCATGGGGTGTCACTAGGCTTGGGAGCTCTAAGTGAAGGTAGGATAATCCCCTTGTTACTCCTTTCACAATCTTCAACCTTGTTGGCCAGTCAAGCCTTGAGTCATTCCCTAAATATCCAAACATTCAACATATAGTGTTAAGTGAATTACTTGAGTACAACATATAAGATTCCATTCAAAATTCAAAGCTTGGCATATATACTCATTATAATATAAAAAAATTTGAATGTGCGATGAGACACTTAGAAAATATTTATAACCTACTGCGTATATTACAACGTGTCTTTTAACATGCAGACGAGATTATTCAATCAAACTTACGGAGTATATTAGTTCAATCCTCATTCCTTCAATCCCTTCAACATGAGACAAAAATAATGTGACATACCATAAAGGTGAGTGGCCAAGCTACCATTGGGGACATGATCAACCACCAATAGCTTCTCCTCTTTCCTATAATAATAAGCAACAAGAGGGAGCAAGTTGGGGTGGCTCAGCCTCCCTAACCTCCTCATGTGCTCGTGGAAATCCTCCCTACCCACATGGTTCATGTGCTTGAACCTCTTCACCACCACTGCCTCTCCGTCCATCATCACCGCCTTATATGACGACCCCAAGTTGCCACTTCCCAACACCTCTGCCGACGCCCTCAACAGGTCCTGTAAGGAGTCAAACTCAAATATGAATAAAATTAATATTTATTACAGAGTATTTGTTAACGAATACAAATATGTAGCGATTCAATTCTGTATGGATACAATTAATATTTATTACGGAGTACTCCCTCCGTCCCGCTATATTCGTCCAGTTTTGACTTTTGGAACTGCTCATCTAAGCACTTTGACTCATCAA